GCGGCCGGGGCTGCCCGTCCCGGCAGGGAGCAGCACAGGCTGCTCCATCCCCACGCCGGCTTCTGGCCTTGTTTTCCACCCTGGACAAACAAAAGACACAAATGGGGCTTTGTACTGCAGACCCGGAGCGGGGTCAGGCAGGGCCCGTAATCCTCATCAAAGAAATTAAGCCCTGCATTGATTTTTCACCAGGATGGGACCTGCGAGGCCGGCTGTGACGGGCTTGCATAACACACTTACGTGCAGCAGAGCCACGCAGCGCGGGCAGCCCGGGGCAGCACCAGCTGCGGAGGCACCGAGACAGCCACGAGCAGGACACGGGGCTGCACGAGGCGCTTCCAGGCTGCCCTGGCGCTTCCCGAGCAGGGAAAACCCTTTGGCTTCAGGGCACGGCTGCAGCTCCCACAAGGCGCAGGACTGCCCGGGCAGACAGGGTGGCCAGAGGGGGCTCAGAGTGCACACACAGATGCATGCATGTATGCACATATGCACGTGTGTATGTTTGTGCACATACATGGGCTTCCCCAGCCAAGAGCTGCAGCTGCCCCGCTCCAAGGACAGCGGTGCTGACAACAGCAGCTCCGCTCCCCGCTTTGTGAACAGGAGCAGGACCTGCTCCTGCCCCTCCAAGGGGGCTTGGGGACAGTCGGCTGTGCACACAGGCAGCACTGGCCTTGCACCTTTGCCCTCTGAGGGAAGATCAGGACAAAGAAAAATCATTGCTCAGAGAGGCATGTGACAGCTGTGAGCAGCAAGTATCTGCTAAGGGCACTGCTGCTGGGTGCTCAAGTAACCCCTTCTTGGCTGCAGCAAGTCCAGGGGTCTCAGCTTCAACTTCAGTCAGTTCTTCTGCTGGCCCAGCTCTCGCACCAATGTCTGTTTTCATTTGCATCAGGCCAAGACCCACCTTCTGCTCCTCTCGAGGGAGGAGCTGATGCTTCCCCAGAGCATTGCTCACTGTCATCCTCCCCAGGGCATGGCTGCGCTGTTTGTTTTGGCCACAGGCTCCTGCCTGTTGCCCAGTCTGTCACCTTTAGATATTCTGCTGTCCAGGCCCAAGGCTCTTGTAACAGGGATGAAACCCAAGAGCCCTGGCTGAGCTGCTGCCCCAGTCTTGTGCTCAAGCAGGGGCTGCACCAGGCAGCACTGACAGCCCCTGCATTAGGTCAGCTCCAGCTGCACAGGAGATGAGACCAGATGGTGTCCAGAGCTCCCCACAGGGAAAAGGGCTCATCCCCCTTTGTAAAGACCTGGACACCTCTCAAGTACCAGCACAGGAAGAGCCCAGGGCAAGTTAGCACAAGTCCCTGAAAACTCATAGTCCATAGCCAGAGGATCCAGAAATGAGTCACAGCAGATCAGACAGCCCAAGCATCCCCCAAAGAGGGAAAAGAGACCAGAATCCAGAGATGAAAAAAAAAAAAAAGAGAGGAATCATCTTTATTTGTGAAGTATGTTAACAGATGGAGTAAGTTCACTGCTACCCAACAATAAGGATAATACAGGCTCCACTAAGCATTTGTCTGCTTTCAGGCTCCTATGTCACACAAACATCAAGATGGCTTAAGCACAAAAAAACATGCTGTTAAGCTGCTCCCCAAAGCACCACAGCCCCTATGCTCACTCCAACACTACCCCCTACCCCTCACTGCAGCAACTTTAGAAGAGATACTAACAAAGCCCAAGAAATAAGTTAATACTAATCATATTTAATCAGTTTCCAGCTGTAACACTGTCTCCTCATTGCTTATTTGAGAGGGAGCTAACCAGGACGCTTGCCTGAAGCGCACGTGGCCCTGTGTTTGCGAGCGCAGATGTCTGACACAGCAGCGAGTTGTTCTGCCCCTCTTCCCAAGGAGCCAAGGGACAGACATGCCCATGTCCTTGCTGAGCAGCTCCCAGGAGCTGCCTCAAGCTGGCGGAAGAAGTTGCTTTGCTCCTGGTGATGCACTGGGAAGGACGGGTAAATTCCCTCCCTCCCATCAGGTCAGGTCACTTCCTAAGGTGACCAAATCGGTTTCTTCCTGACCCATAGGAAGCAGGACAACTGATTTATTGGGAACACAGGTCACAGCACCCACTCCCCAGAACAGCACAGAGCAGCTGGGCACAGCTCACTTCATGCCCAGTGTCAGCTCCTTGTACAGCCTCTTAAAAGCTGAGGTGGGACAAGGAGGGTGTTTCAAGATGCCCTGCTGAAAATACCCTGTTCCTCCCATGGGTAAAAGCAACAGAAGCAGGTTTTGCTCCCACCCATCCCCTCTATAAAAACATAAAGAAACCAAGGACAGAGACAGCCAGTGACCAAGACTACCAGCAACAGGGGATTTACATTTACAGGTAGAAAAACCCTCCCACAACTCTTTTTTTTAAAAAAGTGTATTTTAGATTCTACAACTTAGAGTTTCTTTATAAAGTAAAATAACTGAATTGCAAGGATGCACTAGGATATTCATGGTACTATTTTACCAAAAAAAAAAGAAACATAGAAGAAAAAAATGTCCAGACCACTTCTTCAGCTACACATCACCTGGCATGGGAGAAAGAAAAGCAGATTAGAGCCCATCCCTGCAGCAAGGCCACACTGCAGGAGGGGTGACAAGGACAGAGGCTGCCCTGGGTCCTGGGAGGCAGCCCAGACCCTCCTGTGCTTTGGAGCTCACAGAGGGCAGCTGCTTTCTTCTCAGACTCCCCTTGGCTGGACAGAGGCCACGCAGATGGGCCCCTCGTGCCAGAGCTGCAGCAGTTTCCTGCAGATCCCTCCTGGCCTGTGCAGGAGCTTTAAGGGCTGCACGTTTGCCTCCCTCCCCCGGATACTACGGTAGGACCTGGGCCTGCATGGATGTAACCTCGGGACCTTCCTGCTCCCCCAGAGACCTGGGGGCCTCTGAGCAGCTGCTAAGACCTCCAGCTGGATGGTCACCTTCAGGCCACTGTTCCCAGCAAAACCTCCACCCCACACAGTGCACTCACCTGGCCCCTGCTCTTAGTTAGCGTTTCTCTGGCGGACATTCTTGTCCTTGTGGTTCGTGGCATTACTTTTCCTGGAAAGGGAAAAGGGTCAGTGGGAGGTGGAAAAAAATAGCACAAAAGCCCACCCTGACCACTACTGGAATACAGGTACCAATCAATGCTCAAGATATGCCAAAATAAAATAGCTGTCAGAATAAAAGTGACAGTTTTGGAGACATTTTTTCTACCATTGCCAATTTTCTGTCATGTATATGCAGGCCACATTAAATGTACTATGCAGAAGGAAAAAAAGTCTCCCAGGAAGCTAGTGAGGTATCTCAGCACCAGCTAGCTTTTGCATTTGGAACAGATTCCCTGGGGAATATGATCTACTGGTACAAATCTGGCTCAGTAGGAAAATGAGGGACTTACAGTGGTGCAGAACCTCCATCATCATCTTCATGTTCAGGACAGCCCAGAAAGAAGAGAAAAACAGCGTCAGGGAGGAATATGTACACAGTAAATTACTTGTCACCTCTTTAAATTCCCCAAGGACTGGGATTCCACAGGAATTACTGGATACTAGTGCCCATGCAGGACTGGAACCTGAAGGGCTCCCACCCCACAGAGCTTCCATTTCACTGGGACCTGGATAGCAGGGGGCTATTTAACAAAACACCATCATCCCCTTCATGATTAGTAAGCTGCTTCTCATCTGAGCAGAGGCAGGACATGAGCTTAGACATAAGCTCCTGTTATGCAGCTGCTTCTGTTGGCACAGAGTTAAGTTTGGCTCACAGGATAACCAAGTCTTTACCCCTGCTCAGCAGAGATCAGGTCTTGCACTTCATTAATCCCGAGGCACTTGAAGCCACCCCCGGAGGCTGCATCCTCAGGGAGTCAGCCAGTCCACCCAACAGGACTTAACTGGAGCAGAGCCTCATGTCCATGCAGTGAGACAGCACAGCTGCCCCTGGAAACAGCCCTTGCTCTCAGCCCCATGAATTCAGATGCCCCCAGACCCAAACACACAAGCTAGCAGCAAGTCAAGAGGAATCCAGAGAGGATGCTTCAAGAATGAGGCTTAAGTATCAGCAGAACTAAGCCCTCCTGCTCCACGGACTTCACCAAATCAAAGGACACACTGCACATCACATTCTCACTACACTGAAAAGCACAGAGAAGAGCAGCTCTGCCAACACTTGCCAGGTAGTGCAGCCTTTCACCAGCTCCTTGCAGCCTGCCACCTTCCACAGCCCAGGCTTTCCCTCCAACGGAGCTACGTGGGGAGCTCCAAGCTCTAAGCACTGGCACTGCCTTGAGCACTGAGCTGCATGCAGCTGGTGAGAGGACAACGCAGAACATGGCTGAGACCATCTACTTACCATGAAGGTAGCGTGCAGCAGCAGAGAAGGGAAGAACGGAAAGGTAACAGCAGCAAGGATATCATACCAGTACACACTAGACACCCACAAACCAGGGGACAGAAAGTGGCCAGATCAGTGTCCCTTGAGGAGCAACATTGACCTGAGCTGGCTCAGCATTGGTTTCCTGCTACCTCCCCTCAAGAGGAGCAAAGTCACAAAGAGTTTGGAGGAAGGAGAATCAAGGCAGTAAAGTGATGGGTAAAGCTGTATATGCTTGTAGAGCAGCTATCCTCATACACAGGCACCTGAAAACAGGACCTTAGGAAGTCTGGTCTCAGAGGGGTCTCAGGAATTTCAGTATAACCTGCCCTGTCTTCAGCTGTCAGAGCTCTCACTACAGCTCCTGGCAGATCAGCACTTGACTAGACCTTAACAGTGCAGATATCAAAACAGATCTCTCACTCCAGCTCTTGTTTTTTTCTTTAAAAAAAGATAAAACATTCTTAAGCCAGAAGACATCCATCCAGCAAGAGTGTCAGAGGACAAAGCACTTCTTTGAGGTTGCATTTAGTGATATTTCCCAAACCGTGTAGTCTGGGGAGGGATATTTAGTCCCTCACTTCCCTTGACTCACTACCCTCAACTTACCTGCTGTGCCATTCCCTAGAAAGACTAAAGGGACTGACCCAAGGAGCAGGAAGGAGATCAGTCATCTGCACTTCATTGTTAACTGGATCAGATAAGTGAGCAGCTGCTGGGCTAACACAATGGAGATTCTAGCTGATAGGGAAAGGGAGGAGCCCCAGAACAGAGAAAAGAATAGCACTAGGCTTTGAAGGAGACCCTGAGAGCCTTTGAATCCCAAAACAACTCAAAGGTGAACTGAAATTAAGATAAACGTGGGTTTACAGAGCCAGCAACATGGTCCCTGGGTCTACAGTACAGCACTTTGCAAAAGTGTAAGGGAAATAGTAAAACAGAGCAGGCACTGAACCTTACCCTGCTCCTGACCCAAAGCATTGCTTGAAGCTCCACTTCCACTCACAGCCCTGCTGGGGCTGGAAGGGAACTCTGGAGATGCCCTGGTCAAACCCCAGTGCTCAGTCAGGGTCAGCTACTGCAGGCTGCTTAGGTCCATGCCCAGCTGGGTTGGAATAGCTCCCAGGACAGAGACTCCACTGCTTTTCTGGGCAACCTGTTCCAGCGGCCACCACACTACAGTGAAAGTGTTACAAATCTTGCAGTGAAAAGGTGTTTTCTTATGTTCAGAAAGAATTTCCTCTTTTGGTTTGTGTCTATGGCCTCTTATCCTGCCACCTGGCACCCCTGAGAGCAGCTCTGTCTGCTTCGCACCCTGCCAGCAGGTATTTATAAATGTTGATAAGACAGATCCCCACAGAAGTAAACAGGACATGCATTTTCTTTAGCTTGGTAAAAACCACCATGATTGTATTGGAAGCAGGCTGATAAACAGCCCTCATTCAAGTGTAAGGCCCATCCTACAAAAGGAACTCAATGAGAACATTTTGTCTCTATTTTAGAAGTTGCTCAGTCTCCCTGGAAAGATTTAATCAAGTGCTTCTTACCATCAAGAACCTCATCTGGCTTCCTCCTCTTCTCATAGATGAAGATGATTGTGACAAGA